AATTACTTTTAATTCAAGTAAAGCATCACACCACTTAGACATCTCTGCTCTGTGAAGTAGCAAAACATGCAGTTAACAAAAGGTGCATCCCAAATCAGGAATCATTTTACAACTAGAGGTCACTGACATTTTTTCCTTTCTCATATTTTCTGTCTTTTTCACTAGTTTTACTTTTGACTAGAGTGATCATCGTTACTGGTAGGATGAGATGAGACAATCCCTGGATGCTACAGAGGTTGTACAGGCAGTCTAGCTTCTCTAGGTTGCCAGTTCAATGCGTGCAATTGTCAGGTTTGCTAGCACAGTCTCAAGAGTTTGTCACTCATTGTCAGATCCTACGCTGGTGCCTGTGGGTCCTGGGTTTCTCCTGGTATGACAATGCCGAGCTTCATGTGGCGAGAGTATGCAGGCAGTTCCCGGAGGATTAAGGAATTGATACCACTGACTGGTTCCCACACTCGCCTGACCAAAATCCAACTGGGACATTATGCTCCTCTCCATCTGAAGCTGCCATGCTGCAGCTCAGACTGTCCAGGAGCTCAGATGCCCTTGTCCAGATCTGGGAGGAGATCCCCAGGACACCATCATCTCTTGTGGAGTATGCTCCAAAATTGTCAGGAAAGCATACAAGTCCATGGAAGACAAACTGACTACTCAGTATAATTTTGAGTCGGTGCAATGAAATTTCAACAAAATGGTCTGCATCATTTTTTTTTCACTTTGATGTGTATCAAAATTCAGCCCCCTGTAGGTTGATTATTTTGATTTCAAGATGTTGTTTATTTGTATTTGTATTTATTTATTTATTATTTATTTTATTTATTTAGCAGTGAACATGTAACAACACTTGCAGTTCAGTGAATGTTCATGTGTGCGAAGCATCTTGGTCTCAAAGCCAGATTATCACTTGGGCTATTATGATGAAAGATTTTACTTATTTTACTTTATCTTATAAAACAGTGCATAATCTCAATTTCTCTAATGCTCTCTTAAATTCAAATGAAACTCAGTTTTGTCACTGATCCAGTTGGTTTTGCAGATCTTGTTATTAATCTGAAAGAAATGATGCAGCATAATTCAGTCATTAAAGGTGATTTGGAACTAAATTTACTCCCTAAAAACTTAAACACTTTAGTACTTGAGTTCATCGTTACAGCAACAAATCACAACATGTAAGCTATTTTATTTCTGCACAGTTACCCAGAGCTGTTTGTGATTTAACTTCAGAATAAACTGTTTCATCAGCTGCTGCAGGAGCTGGTTTCCCTGCAAAGAAATGATTTGTCAAATGTCATTGCAAGCACCTCTTTGTTCAAAGTGACAACTTGATTTATTTTTACAACTTTTTCTTCTTGTGTAAAAATAATTAAAACTCGAAGCAAGCATGAAATTAGGTACTTATTTGATTACTTTACTTACCTTTGTGTCTCTTCGGTTTC